GTGAGCAGGTTAGGCCTGTGTGAGCTCTTAATGTCCGGTTGTGTGTTTGTCTGTGGCTTGTACTTTGCTTATGGCTTCGCTGCTCTCAGCAATCAGCCTAAATACATGACATCATCTTCCTGCAATGCCCTCACCACCCCCCCCCCCCCTCTCCATCTCACTCCTCTCCACCTTCACCTCCTCCCTGCCTCACACTGCTTCTTCTTTTCACTGCCCCTCCTCGTTTATCCTCTCACTCCCTCGCTCGTCTCCTAGTAACAGGCGATTTCTTTTCTTGCTGTGTCATTATATACAATAACAGTATAACTGCTGATGTGTTTGTGCCTAATTTCAATTATCATAAGACATGCAGTTTATAGAGCGAGCACTGTGAACTCTGGCAATACTGTGAATTCACATCATGGAGATTTGTGAGTCTTAGAAAAGGTGGCAAACTCTGTGAAAAAAAGACTCATTCTTTCTAGTTCATACCAGCTTCCACCTTTTTAAAAAAAAGTACTAGATGAAGTAAAAGAAACCGATTTGTAATTGTTCTGGCACATCAAAAGGTTGTTGTGTTTCCTGCTGCCAGAGGACACTGTTCAAAAGAGTTTACAGTAAACAAGGTCCTCTGGTGACAAGGACATCTCAGAATATGCTTTCAATGTTAAAGAGAGAAGAGAAACATGGAGAGAGAGAGACAGGAAATGAATGCAAAAGAGCTGCTTGTTATGCTGCAGATCAACCCGAAAAGGACAGAACTATGAACAGTGAAATATAGTTACAATGTCAATAAAATGTGTTTTTGTTAACCATATGATTAAGCTCTAAAGCAGTGTACACTGATTTACAATCTGCCTTCAGTTACATCCCGTAGGACAACATATCCCAGTTGAGGAGACTAACACTGTCTGTCTGCCTCCTCGTACAGAGAGATGTCTGGAGGACCACGAGCTGGTGGTTCAGGTTCAAGCCTCCATGAGCAGCGACAGTAAATTCCTCTTCAGGAAGAACTATGCCAAATATGAATTCTTCAGGAACCCCCTGGTGAGTCTCTCGCATCCCTAAACAAGTCACCCATAGTTCTGTCCTCGACTAAAAAAAGATCTTAGTCGACTAACACTCTTAGCTGATTTAATCGACAGATCTGTAAAACTGAGTTTCTCCTCAAAGAATCATGCAATTGAAAAGCACCGCTTAAAATCTTTAGTTTATCAGTAGTTTTGTGGGAATTAGTTATTTAGCATGAAAAACGCATAAAGAACGATTAATAAATTAAAGGATCTTAGTAGACTAAGACTGACTAATCAACCAAGAGGAGGCTTCAGTTTAGCTCGCACACAGCCGGGGTTCAGACAATTTTCACGCCTTGATATTTGTGTATTGGAGCTGAAGATGGCAAGAAATGTCATGCTGACATTCAAAAGCTTTACATTTTGTTGCTTTTAGGCAGAAATGACCAAAATGACCCAGTGTTTTCTTTCTACGTGGGCTAACAAACCCCTCCTTTTATTCCTTGCTAGCAGCGAAGAGGCTCTGTTTGGTAAAACCAGAGACGGCTGAGAAAGGACGCGGCCCACTGAGTCCATTTTTCTGTATCTGTGTCACTTAAACACAGATTATGACCAATTTGTTTTGCCCACACAGTCCCCAAAGTAAATATTGGACCCATTTCTCACAAGCTACACATCTCCTGAACATTCAACTAAATGACATTTTTCGAACACACAAATCAGGAGAAAATGAACTTTGTTCGAGACCTTCCTCAACGACACGCTCTCGCTAAATCTGCCAACTACCATCCAGAAACAGTAAATTATTATCCGACTGCAAAGCACAAACCAGCTACTATTCTTTCACTAGGAGGCTGCTTTGTCTTTCAAAGCCAAACAACCACAAGTAATCAATTTAAATAAAGTAAAGGACAATGTTGTTCATTGCAAGGTACAGTGTAATATGTTGAAGAAGGAAAGACCAAACGGAGAAGACCCACTGGAAGCGAGCAAATTGCGTAACGCTCTCAGGTTAGCTAGTAGCTTGTTCGTCAGCAACCAAACTGCCAGGATTTCTGCATTGCAGCACTTTCTTTTATTTTGTATCTGTAAACCTGGAGGCCAAGAACATAGAAAAGAGGGATCCCAGACAGTACAATAGTGATCTTCACTCCATCCAATAGTTGTGGAGATTTTTCAGTTAGGTCTAACGTTGTAGACTTACTCTAAGAGCCACATCAGTATGGCTGAACACAGTCATCATCTCTTTCGTTGAATCAAGCTCCGTACTGTATTTGTGTAGTATACTGCTCAATTCTACAATTAAATCAATACAATTCATCCTTTATCCCAAATCAGTCTAACTTTATACACAACGCTTTTATTTGTGTCGTCTCCGAGTACATTCGTGTTTGGTGATGTCGACGCTGAAGCTCATTCGAAGTCTGTTTGGACAACGGCGCCAGCTATAATATCAAAATGTAAAGCTGTTCATCATTCTGAGGACGCAGACCGGCCTCTGGCAGCATGCGAGTCAGCGTTGGCCGGTTTTGCGTTGGCATCTTTTGCTGACATGGACTCGGCATGGGGCTCGTGCTGTTGCGTGCTTGCCCGGGGTGTACAGTGACATTATTGCTGTGGTGATTTAGGTGAGTGTCAGAGCCAGCAGGTGACCTCAGCTCTGTGGTAATGAGCACAGTAAAACACCAGAGTGCTGTCCGCGGCCTGTCAATCACGCTAAGAGTAGCGCTGCTGGCTAAAGGGGATTACATCAGCGGGTGAGATCATACTGCATCTACTCCCAGGCTGGAGTGCCCTCTCTCTCTCTCTCTCTTTCTCTACCTCTCTCGCCCCCACCACTTGTCAGACACACTCACAGAAAGAGAGACGTATTCTGGATAGAGAAACACTAGCCCTCTCTGAGCTTGCATCTGCACTAAGTGGTTTCTAGTGCCTCTCACTCTTTCTTTCTCCCTCGCTCATTGTCGCGCTCTCTCTCTGTGTGTTTTTCCATCCAGAACTTTTTTCCAGAGCAGATGGTGGCTTGGTGTCAGGAGTCCGATGGCTCAATCCCTCAGTCACAGCTCTTACAGGTAAGGAGATGACTCGGTGAAGGGACACACACGTCTCGAATAGCACACATGTAAGGGCTTGATTCATTACATAACGCTTAACTTAAGCTCAAAATGAATCCTAAATCTAATTATAATCCTCAAGCTAAATCCTAACTCTTAAGTAGCCACCCTGGAAAAAGAGCTCTCACAAAAGTGAGGACATCTGGTAGTCAGAAATATGCACACACACACACACACACACACAGTTCCTGAAATCTGCTAATTGCATTCACCCAGTGTTGCTACTGCCAGAGTTTAAGGAATATAGACAAAAAAAACCTGCCTCTATATTCCACTGCGATCTCTAAACACCATCATGTCAGAAAGCGCCGTTTCCAGCATGACACACAAACATTTGTGTCGTGTACATTCAGTTCCCCTCCAGCAGTGTTCCCAATAGATGCTGTTTGTGTGTTTTTGCAGAACTTTCTGAACTCCAGCAGCTGTCCAGAGATCCAGGGCTATATGTACGTGAAGGAGCCCGGACGCAGGTCCTGGAAGAAACTCTACATGTTCCTGCGACGCTCCGGGCTCTACTACTCTACTAAAGGAACATCCAAGGTGACGAGTTACTGCTATCAGTTATAGACAGTTTACTTTTCAGGATTGACAGACAACTAGTTGAGTTGTGGTTGCAACATTATAGTTGAAAAGTACTCCTCTTAACTAGTCATTTTCCTAAGCAAAATAAACAACAAAGAATAAGTTTTAAAGCAGTGCATCATTCTTTTCTTTAAGTCGTTGTTGACGTCCCTTTCCGTCTGCCTCTGCAGGAGCCCCGTCACCTGCAGCTGCTGTCGGATCTGGAGGACAGTAACATCTTCACCATCATCTCGGGCAGAAAACTCCACAACGCTCCAACAGATTACCAGTTCTGCATCAAGGTAACGCTCCGGAAAATGCTGCAACCCGAGCAGCTCATTATATTCATTGCTGGAGATTGACATTCATCTGCAGGTTGAATGTGATAATTATACTTTCCACAGTCAAAATGTAGTCGAGCATTTTTAAAATAGATTTAGTGAGATTCCCTCAAACCCAATAAGAGAAGAGACACTGTACCATGTAGTGTGTCTCTTAAATGGCGGTATTGGGAGTTCTGCAGTGGGATTGTGACATTTTTTTAAATGCAAAATTTAAGAAGTATCAGGATACATAATCCATAAAATAATTATACTATAGTAAGTTCAATAAAAAATGTAAATGTAAGTTTCATAAACTACTTTTTGAATTAATGCAATAGTTCACCATTCGGTTTGTTCTGCGTTGATCAGGAAGTACTGAGTACAAATGATTTCAACACGGATATCGTCCTATCAGGGGTGGAAGACTGGCTGTTACGTGACCTTTCGTAAAACCGCTTCTTAACAGATGCACCTGCTTCCCTTCTACATGTATTGTATCTTGTGTGTGTGTGTGTGTGTGTGTCAGAGGACACAAGGGTTAAAACCGCACCAGCGGGGGTTCGAACACACACTTCACTCCAGGAGTAATCGGTGGTGGGTCACCTGCTGATCTGGGATAAGCCCACTGGGATAAGCCAGGATGGTACAGGGAATCTAGCCCACCTAACCCCCTCACCTCTCTCTTACACACACACACACACACACACACACACACACACACACACACACACAGAGACCAGATAACCAGGGTGTCAGATGCTGTCAGCGGGGGTATTGGGTGAGGGATTTAACTTGGCTGCATTGTTGCTATGGGGACATGAATTAATTTACCGGTCGGGGTTTCATCTGGTTTCGTCCTCGTTACTGATGGAGGGGAAAGGAGAGAGTCTGTGCTGTGATGCTGTGACGGTCCTCACTAGAAGGACTATAATACTGTATATTGTTTTAAGCACGGATGAAATACTCGAGCGCGCAACTGTAATTTAGTGAGTTTTAATGGTGTCATCTGGTACCTGGAACAAATAAAGCTTATAGTTTTAGAATTTGGAAAAATAAAAGTTCATATGAGAATGTCCTTCAGTGTAGTTTTACGTAGATTAAAAAGCTGATTTCTCATTCAAAAGATCCCATTATTTGCACTTGACTCCATAACAAAAATGTACTTTAAAGGTTAGAATAGTAAAAGCTTGCACATTTTATTCCAAGTAGAAATAACACATTCTTCCTTTTACAAGTAAAATGCAGTAAAATGCCCCCTTGTTCAATTTAATACATTTAGAGGTTTAGCAGCTACTGACTCACTTGCTCTGAGCAGTAGCTTCTGGCGGCTAATGTTAGCAAACTTTGGAGCGATATTGCGGTCTAACTGACATTAGAGTGAGCTTGCTAACTTTAGGGCTGTTACTGTTATACTCTACTTCAGCGCTACTTTTTAATCTTTTACTATTGTCCCATAGTTGTTACTTGTGGCGACAGTGGTTATTGTTAGCCAACAGCACATAATCTGGCCTTAACAGGGATCATAAAATGCAACTATAAAGACTAATTGTGTGTTGTCAACTGCTGCATATGTTATGCATGTGATTGCATATAATGTACCACTAATCAGTACAAATTACTTTACCAATCTTTGCAACCGCTGAAGTACAAGCCTGAGTTACAAAACATTACAGTCTTGCCCTGCATGCCACAAGTTTGAGGGTCTGTACGAAAAGCTGAAATGCCAGAAACCACAAAAGAGGCCTTTCTTCTTCTTGTTCATGATGAGTGTCTCATTCATTCATATCCCGCTTTGTCCACTGTTTGGTTTACAGCCCAGCAAAGTGAGGAGTGACTGTAAGGAGCTAAAGATGCTGAGTGCTGAGGACGAACAGAGCAGGACCTGCTGGATGACAGCCTTCAGACTGCTCAAAGTACTTCCTTTACTTTCACATGTTGTAATTGTGGTTCAATCCAAGGCTGTGGGTTGTATGACTGTACAGTTCACAGAGGGTTGACAGACTGCAAACTTGAACCCAAACCTAGAAGTTACTTAAAGTTACTACGAGGAACTTTTCCAGGATCTGACAGCGTGCTCCAGTCAGTCCTGGTTCTGGTTTTCTCGTGCCTCCCTTCCCTCCAAGCGGGCCCAGTAATACGGGTGTTGGCTCCCAGAGGAGACCGGCGGATGTCTTGACATGACTTGATTTGCCATCTCTGGAAACATGAGTTGATGCCGTCTCTGCTCTTGTGTCCTCACAGTATGGGATACTACTGTACCAGAGCTACAACGTTCCCCAGCAGAGGAAGTCCAACCTCTCGCCTTTCTCTGCACCCGTGGTGAGTATCTGCTCTCTGACATCACCGTCGCACAACCTCAAACCCCCACCCATCCGAGACTGATCCAGATTAATCCATTGATTAGCTGATGGTGAATTGGAATCACTTTGCGTCCCCCTTGTGCCTCGCTCCTTTAAAGAGGAAACGCCGTGGGCTAGATCACTTAGAATTAGAATTAAACACAGTTGTTTAGATGACTATAAAAACTTTAGTAGTTAATTAGATGAAAATAATTTGTGCAGGAGAGGCTTGTGCTTTTCCTCAGTGTGTCATTTGTGGAGTGACTGAAGTGGGTCTCCTGTGCAGACAGGATTTGTCATGCCCCAGTGAGTGTGTCTGGCTTGTTTGACCTCTGACCCTTGTCTTCCCCCCCTCCACCATGCCCCTTGTGCACCCCCTCCCCCTACTCACCAACCTGCCACGTCTCCTAACAGCGGAGTGTATCTGAGAATTCCCTGGTCGCCATGGACTTCTCCGGGCGGACCGGCCGCGTCATCGATAACCCCGTTGAGGCCCAGAGCGCCGCCCTGGAGGAGGGACAGACCTGGAGGGTAAGAAGGGGGACGGATTCAAGCTCCAGTTGTTTGATGTGATTAATACAAAGAATAGTTTCCTTTAAAAAATGCCATTTTATCATCAACTCTTCTTTGGTTTAGTTTGTATTGTAAGTCATTCGAGAGCACGGCCTTTTCTTTCTTTCTTTCTTTCTTTCTTTCTTTGACCTACATGGTTGTGCAGAAGCCTTTTTCCATTTGGAGCTCGTTTATCTTGCCGCTGCATCGCTGCAGCTCCACTTATCTGTTGCTGCGATCACAGCTCTGACGAGGCTAAAGCAGCTGCTCACTCCTTTTGTTTCTTCGTTGTGGACAAAAGCAAATCTTTACAATGTTTTTTTTTTTTGTACCGCACTAAAAAGAATCAAACTTCAACAGAGAGCCACAAGAAAATCAAATTCTTTGTGTTTTGGTTCAAATGTTTCAGCGTATTTCAGTGTGTCATGAGGGAAGGTCGAGGCTCGTAGCTGGGTGGCTGATTTGAAGGGTTTTGTTTTATTTGTTGTTAACTTATGGTAAATGTTGCACATGTGCCCTTTCCTCCACATAGAAACGGAGCCAGCGTATGAATGTCCTGGGCAGTCCCAGCCCCCTGCACCCATCCCCTCTGAACACAGGTACTCTCACTGCAGACCTCTAACAGATACGACATTAATCACCAGACAGTGTCTTACTCCTTTTCCACCAAAATGAATGCGTACATGCAGATTTTTTTTTAAACATGGGAAACGGGTCCTTTTGCTCCATTCTCGTGAACGACGGCCTGGAGGGAATCTCTTCACATTTAGCACAAACGTCCACCTGGACTCAAGGATGAACTGATTATATTTTGTAGGTCAAAGGTCACAGTCACTGTGACCTCACATCCGTCCCATTCTAGGGGAAGATCAGGAATGCTTTGAGTGAATTTCTTTATGTTTGGCACTAACAACAACTTGGAGTAATTTGTCCCGATTGCAACCTTTCCCACTGAAGACAAAAGCCAGATGTTAGTGGTTGTTTGTGAGTATTTTATCCAGTGGGAAAGTGTTTATTACTTTTCCTTGCCCAGGGTTCATAGATATACTGATGTACAGCGATTATGAACATAACTAAATTCTCTAAATTCTGTCTTTCTTGTAGTGATCCACAGGACACAGGTATGGTTTCATGGTCGCATCATGAGAGAGGAAGCCCACAAGATGATCATTCAACAAGGCCAAGTAGACGAGTAAGATCAAAGTTTTTATGTTGCACTGTACGAGGTTGGGAACTGTGGTTTGATGTGATGAATGTTGCTCATGTAAAGTGCAGTAGAAAGCTTTGGGAAAATGAATAAAAAATAAAGACATCACCACTGCCAAGAAAAGCTTAGATCTTAAAGGTTGGAGTCTAAAAACAGCTCTTTGGCATGACAGTCACGCATTTTCGCCTTTACCCAGTGGATTAAGATAAGTCACAGCTCCCTCAGCTCATGCAGTAGCTTTTCATGAAACATTTGAAATGCAACATTGTAAAACCCATCAAAGTTATAAAGTCCTGATAGAGATATATATATATATATATATATATTTATATATATATATTTCATGTAGCAGTTTGATCATTTCTCTCCAACATTCTGTGTGTCAGATTATTCCTGTTGCGGGACAGTCAGAGTAATCCCAAGGCATTCGTGCTCACCTTGTGCCACCACCAGAAGATCAAGCACTTCCAGATCCTTCCGGTCAGTCACATTACACAACACAATCACTGTCATGCTCGCTTGTAAAATCCACTGAAATAAGACGCAGAGAGGCAGATTACTGCTCACCAGCAGAGAAACATAGATTTCAAGCAGGTCCACCCTAATGCTCTGAGATACAGCTTAATCTCATCGTATAAAGAAACATCTGGCCTGCTACATACCATGCCTTTTTAAGATTTTAAAAGAAGTGTTTCCTTTCTCTCAGGCAGCCATCTGTTTGAATTTATTTTGTTACAGTAAATAAATCAATTTGAAAAGGCTTAAAGGGCCAGTTCACCCAAATTACGATGGAGACATTGCTTTTCACCTGCCGCTAGAGGTAAGGTATGCGGCAGAAAGTTTTGGCCTGCTGATGACGCTAGATGAAAAGTCAGGGGATCACCAAAGTCAGTCAAATTCATCCTCCTGTGAATGTCTGTACAATATTTCATGGCTATCCGTCCAATAGTCGTGTGAGGGTTAACTGTCCTCTCTCCTCCCTCTGGCTCTGGTCTAAAGTGTGAGGAGGACGGTCAGGTGTTCTTCAGCCTCGACGACGGCGCCACCAAGTTCACCGATTTGATCCACCTGGTGGAGTTTTACCAGCTCAACAGAGGAGTGCTGCCCTGCAAGCTCAAACACCCCTGCACCGCCGTGGCCTTGTGACACTCCACGCCCCCCAACACCTCCGACCCCTTTTTTTGCACACCTCTCACCCTGAGATCCCTATCCCCCGTCTGCTCCTCCCTCACCAACGCAATGAGGTTGAGCAGACAAGAGAAAAGTTAAGTCAAGTTTTGGGGATGTGAACAACTCTGCAGGAGCCGGCATTGGAGGTTTAATTTCCCCCAGTGCGCCAGTGCTTTTCTCCGCCATACCGCTGTTTTGGATGTTGGAATAGGAACCGATTGGATAGTTCAAGCGTTGCAGATTGTGGACCCAGCAGTTGCCCAACTCCTGCGATGTTGTCATGGAGAGATTGTTTTGTCATTGCCGTTTTGACCCTGGAGAGAGACCACATGTAGTGAAATCACAAGACAACTAAGGTCTGTTCAAAAAAGAGTGCTTCGGGTCTCTCGGGTTGGATCCCCCCCTCAGAGACCTTCAAACCCGCCGAACCTCCCTCATCCTCCAGGCCTGATAAGCTGTGGTGACCGCACCACCCTCTGACTTCCTCATCGATAATCAGGGATGGACGGGAACGTCTTATCAAACTCGATCCAGGAGTTTTCTCAACCTGTGCAGTCCAGTCTGAATAAGCTGACACCCCGCCCCGCCCCGCCCCACCGCGACACCCGAGCGGACTCGATGCTTCCTCTCTGCTGTGTCCTGTTGTCTCACGATCCCCAGACGCAAACCCCCGATCCGGCCTCTCCTCCTCCACCGAAGCTCAGAGAAAAGTCGGGAGAGAAAAAGAGAAGTAGCTAAAGGCAAGATAAGCAGAGCGGTGGCGAGGGTTTTGCTGAAAGGACAGAGGAATGTTTATCGGGAAGGCTGCAACAAGCCTCTCTTGTAGAGTTGATTACTTGATGTCATTTTAATGCTGTTTTTATTACTGTTGATTCAATGCAGAACTAGTTTTGCACTCCCGGGCAGACAGACGACAGCTGTTCTCTCTAGCTAAATGAAGCTGCCTGCTTTTCCGTTCGTCCTCCTCCTCCTGCATGCCTTCTGAAAAAAGAAAGCATGCACGTGAATTTCCACCAGTTCTGATTGGATTACAGTGGCGTGGGAGCAAAGAGAGAGTTAGGGCTGATTATGCAGTGCCTTTCAGGAAGGTTTGGGGGGACATCTTTGTCCGTGTGGCTTGAACCAACATGACCATGCGTTGGTAAAAATTGAATGTGCGTCTGGAGACAATGAGGAAGAGGAGGAAGACTTAAATAGATTCCTGAAAAGTGTGTCCGCCCCCAAGCTTCTACCATTTGAATTTGTTTTTTATGGAAAGGGTTAAATCTGTTGGTGAATTTGTCTTTGAATGTCATTGTCTTTCCTAAGTCTGATCTGAGCTCACTGCTTGCACATTTAGATTATTGATTTGATATTGATGGGTTGGAGCTGTCATGTTGACCACTGTTCCCTCTCTCCAGAAAAAGACAAATCAAAAGAAGCACTCCCGTAATGTTTGTTTTTTTGTTTTGTTTGTTTGGTTTAATGTGGAATTGATCAAATGACTTGAAATGTGAACTCAGTTGATTGTGCGTCAACACACAGTGGAATGAGATTCACCCGCCTTAAGTGAAAATTGTGAGCCTCGTGTATGAAATGGAAGCTATACTACAATGCACACATACAGTAACATATTTCAAGAAGATGGAGTAACATCAACAGTGTCAAACATTATGTTAAATGGACGGTTTAACATTTTTGCAAATATTCTTTTTCACTTTCTAGTGGAGAGTTAGATGGCAAGATCGATACCACGCTTAGCTTAGCTTAGCATAAAGACCGGAAACGAGGGGAAACGGCTAACCCGGCTCTTTCCAGGTGTAACAAACCTCCTAGCGCCTCTAAAGCTCACTAATTAACACATTATATCTTGTTGAAGATGACAATGTGTGGTTTTAGCAGTGGTTGTGTGCTGAATTATTTCTTGGCTGGGCGCCTTCCTAAACTAAGCTAACTAGCTATTGGCTAGTAACGTTGCGATGGAAATACTTTTTAAAAATATATATGACTCTGGGTTCCTTTCTCTCATTGTTTCAGATATTCTAAAGACGGGAAACTGGTATCAATCTACTCATCTAAATCTTTACGAGAAAGCAAATAGCTCTATTGACCAACATTGACTATTCATAAAAACAGGTACTGGTAATGCAAACCAGCATTTCTGGGCCTATTTTCTTGTTGGGATGCTGTGTTTATCTTAGTTCACAGCGCCTGCATGGGAGCTCGCTCGCATCAGTGGTGAACATCAGGTTGTGCTGTCAGTCCCTCACAATCGCACAATAAGGACGTCTTTCTTCAACAGCAATCTTGCAATAATCGAACAAGCAGACATTCATGATAGTGAACGGTAGAGGAAGCCATTTCCTCACCAGCAGGAGCCACGGTAGACCAGAATGCCTTGTAGCCATCGGGCGTGTTGTCAGTAAGGGGCTATACAAGTGTTCATTCATTACTTCAGAGCTGGAGTGATTCATTGATTAGACGACAGAACATTAATTGGCAACCATCTGCATAATCACTAATCTGTTTTTAAGCCAAAATGCGAGAAACAAAGATGATTCTAGCTTCTCAAACGTGAGCTTTTGCTGTTTTTCTTCGTCTTACATTATAGGAAACTGAATATCTTACGGACTGTGGGTCAGACGGAAGAATTTGAAGACCTCACCTTGGTATCTAGGAAATTGTAATGGACATTTTTTTTTTTTTTTTTTGTAATTTTCTGACATTTTATCGACCACCAACGATTCAGCGATCAATTAAGAAAATCAACAAATTTGCCACCAATCAAAGAAAGAATCATTACTGGCAGCCTTTTATATTTAGGCTAGCTAGCTCAATTTCTGTGGCTATGGGTCAATATCTCATTGAAAACAGCACGGTCATACCTGTTTCTGTGTGGTTGTAGAAAAGCATTCTGGGAGATGAAGTGAAAAGGAGACGAGGCAGGTATACAAGGCAAAGTGGGTCCAGAAGAAAAAGTAGAATGTGACACTTAATCACTAAACAAATCTACCGTAACGCCATTATTTGAAATTATCCAACTTTGGCACCCCCTAGTGTTGGCATTGAAACAACTATTTCCACATGCTATATTGGCATGCAAAGCGGCTTTAACATGTCGTCTGATGATCTTTAAAGCTATCGAGCACCGATACCCATATTAATAGGCCCTCTCCTGATGTCATGTGACCAGCGGATGGAAATCCCGCAGACATGTGACAAAACACCTGCTTAGCCTCACCTGCACCTCCTCTCCATCCGGTGCTAGACTCTCTCAGTCCACAGGGTTAGCACAGGGTCATCAGACCCCCTGCCTGGCTAACTGAACTCTCTCCAAGTGCTGTCATTGACTCCCAATCCACTGCCACCATCGGTCGACCAATCACGTGACTTGAATGACTCACCAGCTCTGCGCTCCACCAATCAGGCCTTTTTAGTCAGCCAGGGTAGACTTGCTCCAGGGATTGGATAATGCTTGAATCCCCAGCCCCCCTTTCCCCACCTGTGTCCAGCCGGTAAGCTGTGTGTGTGTGTGTGTGTGTGTGTGTGTGTGTGTGTGTGTGTGTGTGTGTGTGTGTGTGTGTGTGTGTGTGTGGCCAGACTGTTATAGTCATTATTCAGGATTGCTTAGTCTGCTGGTTATCATAACTTGCCTTTTAGAGACAGTAAGAGGAAGGTTGTTTGTCGGTTGGGTGAAGTCGAGCTAAGCCGAGGATTTAGAGGAGACGGGAGGTTGGCTGGACGTCTCCCAGCATTCCCAGTCTTCAGTTCTTTCCTGTCCGTCAGAAAGGCGGCCGCAAAGCCACGTCGCTGTGGGTCCTCTCCTCCCTCCATTTTTAATCACTGTGCTACAATGCAATCCCATACACAAGCCCAAGTATATGAATATACCAGTATACAGTATCATTTGTTTTCTAAGTATGTGAAGCTATGGAAGACGTAGATCTAACACTGTACCTAGGTCACAGATCACTATGTATGGGGTGTTATGTTTATGCTCATAACGCCGTGTAAAATGAAGAATGATTTATTTAGTCCTTTTATTTCCATTATTTGATTGTCTGTGTATTGAGATTTTTGTGTATTTTCTTTTGGTTTGCCACAAAATTACCTTTTATATATATATATAAAAACAAAAGAATATACCACAGTATATACAGTATTAAATTAAGCTGTTTTTTTATTTTTTAGAGATCAAACTGGATTTTTGGCGTGTGTCAAATTTCTGAACATCAGTTGTGTGTAAGCTGACCGGCTATTCTGATGCCATTTTGTTTGAAAACCACATCTTTTGAATATCTCCTCTCTGTCTGTCACGTCCGATTCCACTCGGTTTTTCACACACGCACACACACACACACACACACACACACACACACACACACACACACCACTGGTTTTTCACCATGAGCGCACACACCGATGCTTAACCCTTGGGGATATTCTTAGCAGCTTTTGCACACCTATCATAACGAGTAGTGCAATTATACTCCTTAGCTCAAGAGGGCAGTGCATTTCATTATTACCATTTACTCTGATTTTAAGGTGCATAACAAAGTTTGTTTTAACTCTTTTTCTTAACTACGCCTATTCTTGCACCAGGTGCCTCTTGTTTGTGAACGGTATCGAGTCCTTAGTTGCCATCCGTCCAACTCTATTTACAGTTCGCTGTAACTGAAGCCTACTGGAACTAATGAATCCGAATATCAGGTCAACATCACATACAAGTCACGTCGACGTCGGTGACTCAGTGTAGGTGCAAGTGGAACTGACCTAGTGTCGGTTGTGTTTTATGTTTGGGTTGAGATCAATATGGGCTGAAGTCGAATTGACATTTCAGGGAAAGAATTAAAGAGCAAATAAACTGTTATCATTCTTCTCCAGATAACCCCACTGTGCTTTGCTTCATTCTGTCTGTACGGCTCCTGGATCGACATTGTATCCTGTTCAGGTATTTTTGTACAAATAAGGGACTGATGTATTCTCTGTTTATTGGAAATTAGAATAAAAGACAACATTGCTATAAACCAAAAATGTCTGGGCTGGTTCTGTGTTCACCCCCTCCCACAAACTACAGTGAGGTTATGTTCTTGTTTGTAGGACCTGCTGTCGTGACTCTTTGGTTAACCCAACTCCATTACATGTTTGACTGGCCACTAATGAAGTCAGGCCGGTGGGCTCATTGACTTTCATGCTTGAATGAACCAAACAATGTACAAACAGCAAAGCAGTGTAACTGTTGCATTACAGACCTTTGGTGTGTGTCTCGGTAGAAAAGCATTCAATACATTCAAGACACATAAATACACACTCGACTGACTTTTGTATGACTTATTTTACTTTGTGATTTATTTCAACATGCTATACTATAACTTTGTTCGTAGTTGTTTTCGACATACTATGAAGTTTTTTTTCGAGATACTATATCACTTTTTCATTACTTTTTTCAAGATACTATGCTGACTTTTAACATAATAAACTGACTTGTTTTCGACATACTATATTACTTTTTTATGACTGACATAATATACAATGGCTTTTTTATGACCGACATAATATACAATGGCTTTATGACTTTTTTCATGACTTAATTATAAAAAACCTGACTTTTCTACATACTATCTTTTTTTTTTTTGCTGACGGAAATGGGCTGCCATACTATACTAACACTTTTTTTTTCGACATACTATTCTATGACTTTTCAATTATATATTTTTATACTATACTGTTACATGACCTTTTTCAACATACTAACGGACTATATTTTGATATACTAACTATAATACGACTTATGATTCTTTGTGACAAACGTGTAAAAGTCTAGATAGATAATATACCAGAACATGGCTATTATAGAGCGATTGTATAGTGAAAGACGTCTCAATTCTTTAAATACAAATGTAAGAGATATTTATCAAACATGTTTGAGCATTTGATGCCAAACTCGATCTCAGTACAACTAAAACGAAGTTGCAAAATTCAGTTTCCTGAATCAATTACGATTATTTTACTTCATGGAACAAAGTTTGAACACAACAGCAGCTCTCCTTATGTATGCAGTGACAACCAAGCCATGTAGATGTGCAGAGTACCTGCCACACAAACTGACAGATTCTCAAATGTCACCCAGTCATGAAACGTCGGGGGGGAATGCCTCATCTATTCTCATCAAAAAACAAAGGAATGCTTACCAACACAAAATCAGACATGCCATACTTAAATAAAATGTCAAACAGGGTATATGTGTTCATTATGTTTAATTTTCAAATAACTGATGGTAAAATGAGAATATTTACAAGAAAAAATGTATATGATCTGTACAAAGAAATATACATGCAAAGATTTAAAAAAAAACATAAAAACATGTCATTTATGAAACAAATGAAAGTGGACACAAACATGACAAAAAAGACAAACAATGAAAAAAAACAAAAAAAAAACCTAAACTGAGGTATCCAGTCCAAGTTTCCGTGTTTAACGGCCTGTGCACACCTTTAAAATAAATATAAAGGTAACAGAGGACTGTGATCTCTGTTCCTGCTAGAAGAGGTTTAAATGCGACTCATCCTAACCTCATATCGGATCAGCGTGTAGTTAAGTGGTTATACCAACGCTGTGTCTTCTTTTAATTACCAGGGAAAAAACTAATCAAAAAAACATTGTTTAGTCGCCGCTTTAGGGAAGTTTCTCTTTTTTAAAACAGGATTTCTGAAAGAAATATTTTGGCAACAAGTACACAAAGTTAGAACACCATTTAGTAAATGATGTAGAACAATCTCCCGTTGAACTCTTGAAATAAAACGGCAACGCTCCATTCTCTGTTAAGTATAAATCTCTTTCTTTAATCTCCCGCCTTTTTTAAGAAAGGCCCGAGAGACGAAAAGAACTAATTGTGTGTAACTACAGTAAACAATCATTCCACACGGTCAGAGATGACCCAACGTGAAACGTTGTCTTATTAAGTACTATCAAGCTAGAGCAACTTTGGTGCACCAATACTACAGAGGCAAACAGTACAAAAGGTGTTAAATAATTTCTGATTAAACCGTAATGATTGTAGATCGTCCTGGCCTGGAAGTCGTAACACTCGAGAGATCAAATAAACACAAACTACCAGCAGTGCTTGCAGTACCAAGTACATGCTTTTCTCTAGATTTATTACAGATACAACAGTTGTCTTCATAAATAGTTGCATAAAATGTTAAAGCCGCAACATTGCACATGATAATCAAACATAACATACAATGAGTGCATTTACAGTAATTTGTCCTCGTCTGCCTCCACATTCACGCCCCGTCTGATCGGCAAGCACCGTTGCCTCCGACAGCCTCGCGTCCCGCCATCCGAAGGCGGGAGTCCGCTGTGAATGTGAGGGGAAAGAAGGCCGAAGTCTATATACAAGGTAAGGCTTAAACATCTCATATCTGCGCAACACAAGTTTGTTCTAGGAAAAGCAAACGACGACGTCTGATGTTTCTTCTCCGATTGGACAGTGCAGCATTGTTATTCGCGACACGGTCATCATGGTATCTTAGATTTAGGTACATTATATAAGCGCAGCCATCGAAAAAAAGCTCTGATCGGACGTACAAATGTCTCAAAGTCAAGAACCTCAGTCGCCGTCTCCGGGTGTCTACAGAGTCCAAAAGAAGCAACTTTCAACTTTGAGCATTTTCTATAATCATTTTTTTTTTTTCTTTTCTTGGAAACGTAGACAGCACTTTTCCTTTGTATACATTATTTCTGTAAGAAAGGGCTGCTTCTCAAAAGTCTTTTGAGTGACGAGTTTAAGTGTAAAAGAGCAAAAACACACAAACGTCTGTGTCCCTCCAGCAACCAGAGGGCAGTTTGCTCCCGGCGCCGTCACCAGCTCTGCGTCTGTGCAGTGCTGTCGAGGCTCTTCTCATCAGCTTGAACTCTAAAATAAATTACTTCATCATGTTTTTTTTTCTTTTTTCTTTTCTTTTAACTACAAAATTTGTTTTGAGTTGAAACCAGCAAGCAGCAGTAGACAGTAGGGCATCCGTTAATTGATTGGTGAGAACTCTGTTCTCTAGGGCTCTGATTGGCTTAAGACCTCAATGGTTCTCAGTTTAATTGGTGAAAGGACTACAGGACTTTAATCAACATTCTGTGAAAGAGGATAAGATCAGCATTCGTTATTTCTCCTTCTTTTTACATCCAGACCATCAAGATGCTCAGTTCCAGAGGAACCTGCGGCCCCTACGGTATAGCAGGGATTGGACTTGTGTATCCGTTCCTTTAAACTTGGGGCTGAAGGCGACTTTGGATGAAGCTCCTGACTCCTCCGATGGCCCGAGCGTCAGTCTGATGTTTCCTCCTGTCTATAAAGGAGATGAGGCGGGAGGTGTCCAGGCAGCCCTCGGCTCTGGCCCGGCCGTCGGTCACACCGGCCTGCAGCCACGGCTCCTGGAGGCAGAGCCCGGCTGGAGGCCTGTCGCCCGGGTCGGTCCTCAGGAGCAGGCAGATGAAATCGCGGGCCGCTTGGCTGACGCCCTGGAAGTAATCCCTGGGGAAGCTGAAGTCTAGCCGGCAGATGTTCAGGCAGGTCTCCTCTGCGCTCTCGTCGAGGAAGGGGGAGGCGCCGCTCAGCAGCACGTAGGTCACCACGCCCAGGCTCCACAGGTCAGAGGTCAGCGACACGGGGTCTCCAAGGACCAACTCTGGTGAGGCAAACTCCGGACTGCCCAGCAGAGGGTGAACGTAGTGGAGGCTGTTGAGCTGCACGGCATCACCAAAGTCTGTGAGTTTGACCGCTGGCTGGCCGCTGGAGTCGTTGGCCACCAGCAGGTTCTCAGGCTGGGAAAGAGATTACAACGTTCACCATTTGTCTTGATTTTTAATAATTACTATAGACATGAAGTGAAACTACTTACTTTTACGTCCAAATGCACTATCCTGCAGTTATGCAGATAATGTAAAGCTTCTAAAACATCCTTTAGGTAGTCGGCCACCTTCTCCTCCGTCAGATTCCCCCAGCTAACGATGTAGTCCAGCAGACGGCCTTGGTCAGCCCTGAAACACAAACGTTAACCGTCGGACAAAAGGTTTCTCAAGCTACATACGTGTCCAAAAACTCCCCGTGATTTTGTTTATTTCGTTTGTGTTGGTCTGTACTCACATCTCCAGGACGAGGGCGTAGCTGCTGGGGGTTTCATACGTGTCTATCAGGCTGACTATGTGGGGGTGTTGGAGCCTCTGGAGCAGATTGAGTTCCTGGGTTACCCGGTCCCTCCTCATCAGCTTCTTGTTCACCTGTTTGACCGCCACCAGACGCTTGGTGCCCTGCTGGTCACACCGCTTGACGACAGAGAAGCGACCCCTGGCGAGAAGAAAGAGGATGGACATTCAGAGGTCAGTTTACCCCCACTAGACAACAAGTCAAATAAATTCAAAGTTGAGGCTATTACCTGCCCAGTTCAACCACCTCAGTGTAGTGAGACTCAAAGTTGTCCTTCCAGCTCACTCTGATTCCACCAGTGGACACAGCTGAGACACAGAACACAGACAATCGATTCATGTCCACACTCAAATGAGCTCTGTGGAGGGATTGTTGGGATGTATTTAGTTTGTTCCTACCCAACACTCTGAGGCTAGCCGAGGACGTTACGCTGCCCAGCTCGTTGGTGGCAACACAGGTGTAAACGCCATCGTCCTCAGAAGCTACGCCGATGATCCGCAGCGTTGCTTCACCAGTGTCACTGAAACAATTCACATTTAATTTAAACTTCTTCATTATCGAGTGCTGATTTGTTGAAATATATGGTGGCTGACAGGGAGAAACAGGCTACGACGGCCCAAAACATTACCATTAGGAGAAACTTCATAAATAACAAAAACGTGCTGCAAAAAGCCAAAAGAAATATATTGAAATGCAACAGAACAAACGCTGCATATCCAGTCAACGAAACACAAGTTCTCCAGCTTAACTTTCGACCTGAAAGAGAGAGAGACCACACTACTGTACAGGAGGCGTGTTTGATTTTAAAGCGGGAAGAAAGGTAAAGAGGCGA